ACAGGTACTTGATGGACTAAGTCCACTAGTATAAAACAATATGACCAAAGGCAGACGTGTAATCAAAATCTCAAGAAAAGTCCCATAAAAACCTAGAAGAGTATACAGAAAAAGCTGTGGCATAAACCCCGAAATTACCATGTCATACACAAGGGTGATAAGACAGATTAACCTATTAAGCAGTGACGTGATCAACCAAAACAGCAAAAGTGCTCGCCCATCTGTACACTAACTGCAGCAATAGAGGTACTGTTAAACCTTATGACCATTATACGCCTTTATACAAGGAGAAACCATGTCAGTCATTCACAAGCTAATGTAGGGACAAAACCCAATAAGCCAATTACATAGCGTTAACCATACCAGGCTACGCTATCAAGAAAAAAGGATATGATTCTAGGAATGCCTCCCACTAATAATATGTCACTACCATATACAAATTTGAAAGAAATTTCAAAAATCCTGGAAACAGGGACCTCCCATACAGGCTGAACTCTTCTGGGAACACAATTCAAAAACCAAGAAAAGAGCTGATGCTGGATTCTTTGGAACCAAGTCAAAAACAACGTATGAGTACACGTAACAGTGTTCCAGGCTTACCTAATAGCCATATATTACTATTCAATAGAAATATTAAATCAGCAAGTATCAGGCAAAACTACTGCCAAGCAGTTCCAAAGGTAATCAAATCACAACTGGTGATAGATTGTCTAGAAGAACTGACATAACTAAATAGTCAAAACAAAGTGATTTTAGCCTGGGTACTAGATCACGAAGGATATGAAGGCAATGAAGAGCCAGTGAAGTAGCCCAAAAAGGCTCAGATAAGGCCATTACAGGCCCCGACCCCTTCTGAAAAATTACTAAGTCATTATGCAAGACAACCATCAAACAATGGATGCAGAGTATTAGGAATGTTGAAACAACTATCCAGGAACCGTCGACCAAGTTCTACTGGATCAAAAATGATAAATTGTTAGGATACCAGTAGATCTTCTTACCGGAGATTGTTGCATAGGAAGACAAATGAGTGTCATCAATCCAACAGAAAAAAAAAAAACATTAAGGCAGGTTCTTTGAAGAAGAAAAGGAAATGCCAATACACGTCCTGTGCATCTGTGAAGGCTTGGATAGATTGAGGTTTTCAACACTAGGTGAAGAAAAGACAAGCATGTAATGAATCACTGTCAAAGCTACTGAGTCTAATAATAAAGACCTAGCTAGATGACATCCTCTAACGGAGGCCACAATTAATGTCCAACTCCTTTCAAATCTAATCTAACAAATAAACCTGTTTTTCAGGAAAATGAATTTGAAAAGTTGGAAAACAATTTTTGTTTAAGATTTTCATCAAACAAAAATTAATTTCCCCACACCACTTTCTCGAAGTTTTCTGACATCATTTGACAGAAAATTTTAATCTTCTGTAACAGACCAGTTTTTTTTTTCGAAAAATTCAACGGAAAAGCCACAAAACAATTTTCACCAAATTTCCCGAAACGGATAAATCGCCTTTCGAAAAAAGGATCGTCAGAAAATTGAAGGGAAATTTGAAATTTTTCGTAATTATTTGAGGAAGAAAATTTCATTCTTGACTAACAGATTAATTTTTCCGGAAAATTAGTTTAAAAAATGCAAGACATTTTTTTTGTTTTTACCGAACATTAATTATTGGAAACAAATATATCAGCTATAGAAAAAACAGTTGGTTTCATTGGAAAATTGGTGGAAAACTTTCACAGAGAAAAATCTGAAATTTTTCAGCATCATTCAACAAAGAAAATTTTAATACATTCGTTACAAACCAGTATTTCCGGAAAGTTCATCAGAAACATTTTTTTAGGTCATCATCCAACGAAAATTAATTTCCCGACCACTTTTCCGAAGAAAAATTTGAAATTTTCCAACATTATTTGCCAGAAAATTTTAATCTTTTGTAGACTAGTTTTTTTTTGGAAAATTCGTAGGAAAAGTCAAAACAAAATTTGGAATCGCCGGAAAATTGGTGGAAATCCACTTTCCCGAAGGAAAATTTGACATTTGAAAACCCTATCATGTGATATATCAATCGACGCGTCTCGTTGAGCCTGGTAATTATTTTTAGGGTTTTTTTGTTCTACCTCTTCTTTTAAGAAAAGTTTTCCCGGAAAAGCGTTCGAATTTTACTGGAAAATGTGTTTGAGGTATCAAGAAAATATTGACGCCAAATTGTGAGGAATTTTGAGTAGAAACCACGAATTTTAATTTTTTTTTGGAAAATTCGTCTGAAAAGTCGGAAAATTCAGGAAACAACATGTTTTCGATTTTTTACAAATAAAAGATAATTTTATGGTAGAAAATTTTCATATTTCCCGATAGAGAAATTTTAAAAATGCCTTTTTTCATAAATAGCTGAAAATACTCAAAATTTTCACGTTTTTTATATTTTCCATTTTCCCTATTATGAAAACTCTAACATGTGATATATCAATCGACGCGCCTCTATAAGCCGGATAATTCTTCTTAAGATCTTGTTGCTCTATCTTCTCTTTTAAGTAAAGTTTTTCCCGGAAAAGCGTCCGACCCAAAATTTCCCTTAATTTTCTTGGAAAATGTGTTTAAGTTAATGATAAAATTTCCATGCCAGATTTTGAGGAACGTCAAAAAATACACGTTTATTTTTAATTTTTTCAGAAATAACGTCGGGAAAGTCGGAAAATTTTCACGTTTTTTATATTTTCCATTTTCCCTATTATGAAAACCCTAACATGTGATATATCAATCGACGCGCCTCTATAAGTTGGATAATTCTTCTTAAGGTCTTGTTGATCTATCTTCTCTTTTAAGTAAAGTTTTTCCCGGAAAAGCGTCCGACCCAAAATTTCCCTTAATTTTCTTGGAAAATATGTTTAAGTTAATGAGAAAATTTCGATGCCAGATTGTGAGGGACGTCAAATTGTACACGTAAATTTTTAATTTTTTCGGAAATACCGTCGGGAAAGTCGGAAAATTCGGTAAACAAAAAATACACATTTTTATAATTTCTCCAAACGATAGGAAATTTTCAGAAATGTATAAATCTGTTGTCAAAAAAGTTGGAAAATTCGAAGAGCAAATTTTTTTTCGATTTTAACCAAAGAAGAAAATTTCCCAAAACGGATAAATCTGTTGTCGAAAAAAAGGTTGGTCTTGCTGGAAAATTAGTGAAAACCCACTTTCTAGCAGGTAAATTTAAAATTTCCCGATACGATTCCATAGTGAAATGTTTCTGTAGTAAATAAATATGCTGTCAAAACAAAAAAACAGTTGGTTTAGGCGGGAAATTAGAGAAGAATTTAAAATTTTCTCACGTGATTCGATAGAGAAAATGTCAATATTTGTTTAGTAGGAAAATTCGATTTTCCTGGGAAATGTGTTTAAGGTATCGGGAAAATTTAGATGTTAGATTGTGAGGAACGTCAAGGAGTATACTGGAATTTTTAGTTTCCTAGGAAATTTTTTTAAGAAAAGTCGGAAAATTCGAAAAACATTTTTTTTTCGATTTTTACCAAACGGAAAGAAATTTGTTGGAAAATACAATTCGATAGAGAAAAGTTCAATGTTATAAATCCGCTATCAAAAAAAAAGTTGGTCTAGTCGGAAAATTAGTGAAAAACCACTTTCGACAAGAAATATTCAAAATCTTCTGACGTGAATTGACAGAGAAAAGGTCAAGTTAGTTAATTTTGCTAGCAGCCAATCCTCAGTTTAGTAATAATCAAACAACTCTACCTATCAATATTATCTGTTGGAAATACATCCAACATATTTCATTAAAATATCAGGCCAACCCTGAACATCGTACCAAATCAATCAATTAATAAATAATTAAAGAAGAAAACACGTTCTAACCAGCTTTATATTAGAGCAGTTGCAACTAGTGGCAGTAAAGATACTCAAAAGAAATCAAAATTTGTTTCTACGTTTTGCAACAATTATTTTTGTGTAAAATATATCACTAAAAATCATCTGAAATCTATTTTAAAAACGTTTTATTAAGAATGTAAACTTGAGTTGTATTGTAATCAATTTTTATCAATAAAGCACCTTTTACAGGCATTTTAGCACATCTGGAACGTCTGTAACATTCTTATGGCAGCCAATGTGTTAAAGCTAAAAGGTTTTACCAATCTTATATAAAAAAAAAAACGATTTCATGAACACAAATTAAAATATTGAACAATGACGCACTAATGGGACACCCTGTATTACCCTAATTTTACAGGAAAATTTGTTTGAGGTACCAAGAAAATTTAATCACTTTAACACGCGAAAACATCAAGTTAGTAAATGTCGGCAGCAGTCAATCCTCAGTTTAGTAATAATCAAACAATTCAACCTATCAATATTATCTGTTGGAAATATATCCAACATATTTCATTAAAACATCAGGCCAACCCTGCGTACCGTACCAAATCAATCAATTAATAAATAATTAAAGAAGAAAACACGTTCTAACCAGCTTTATATTGAAGCAGTTGCAACTAGTGGCAGTAAAGATAGTTAAAAGAAATCAAACTTTGTTTCTACGTTGTGCAATCTTCGCAACAATTATTTTTGTGTAAAATATTTCACTAAAAATCATCTGAAATCTTTTTTAAAAAAGTTTTAATAAGAAAGTAAACTTGAGTTGTATTGTAATCAATTTTTATCACCAAAACACCATTTATAGGCATTTTAGCACATCTGGAATGACTGTAACATTCTTATGGCAGCCAATGTGTTAAAGCTGAAAGATTTTACTGATTCCAACGGGTTATTTTTGTTTTTCCGCAATTATAACCATTAAAATATAGTAGTGATTAAAAAAAGAGTATATTTTCAATATTCCTTCTTCATTACATATTTAAAGAAAAACTACAGGCTAACCGAAGAAGAAAACATTTCAAAACAATCGTCAAAAGTATTAGTCAAACAAAAATTTGCTGTAAAAATGAAGAATACACAAAACTTTCGAAAAACAAACAAAAAAAAATACTCACGCTCGTCTGTATCATTTTACTAAGGAAATTTTCCTTGTTATCCATATCATTTTTAGAATAGTCCTTGCCGTCCGTTTGCGTCTCATCCCCTCTCTGAAAGTCCTTGGTCGAGACGGTAATGTACGATGAGAAATTATTGACCCTCGAATTATTCTTCGAAGGCGCTATGGAATCGCTGGTGTCGTCTAAACCATCGTCCCGATCGACTTCTGACCCATTTCTGATCGCCGTGTCTTCATTTACTTCCAATTTAGAATTTGACTGCAAAACATCAGTGTTATTGTGACATTTATTGTTGAAGTTGTCAGTTTTCTTAGTGACTGAAGCAACGCTACTAGATTTTTTTACGTCGACCCGTTTGGTCTTGCCATTGGTCAAATCGGAGGGTTTATTGGCCGCGCTAGCGAGGTGAAGGCCGTTTTTAACGATTCTAGAATGTTTGTCGTCGAATTTTTTGCATAGATCGGCCACCGAGGCGCGGTTGCCGTTATCATCTTCGTCCGTCAAATTGTCGGTATTAGTATTGTTAGAATATGCCACACTGTTAGTAAAAATGCTTTCTACTCGATCGTTTACCTTTTTCTTAGTTCCTTTCGCCTCGATCGGAGGCAGACCTGCAAAAATACAAACCGGAGTTTAGATTACGAAAAACTGGATCAAAATACTATCGTGATTGATTCTAGAATTGATGAACCAACAACTTTGATCTCAATACAGTCCACTATTTCTGTTCACAAGTTAAGAACGTTTCAAAGTGATACAAAGCTTTCGAATGTCATAGAACGATGGCGCTGTGAAGAAGAAACCAGGAAAACAAAAAGACAGAAATAAGAAGTAAAACATCAAAAGAAAATGTTGATTCAAAAAAATCTAAACGAGTTGAAGTTGACTTTGAAGTCAACACAGTCTACTATCCATTTCCACAAGTGTACACTGTTTCAGAGTGACATAGAATAAGTTTGATGACGCGCTGTCAAGGCAAAGAAATTGAAGAAACCAGGAAAACAAAAAGACAGAAACAACAAGAAAAGCATCAAAATAAGACATCGATCCATAAAAACCCAAACGAATTGAAGTTTCCAGATATATAAGAACAAAAATCCTTACCGATATCATTAATGGACTTCGATCGGGCGATGTTGTCGTTTTTTCTCATGCAAGCAGGCACGTAATTGGCGGGCGAGTATTTGTTTCGCATCTCGGCCACGGAGTCCAACACGTTGACGGCCGACAGCCGTTCGTTGCGCGTCAACGAACCATCTCTGCCGCGCGAATAATCGCTGATCGAATTCTCTCTGATCGAATCCCGGGATATGGAATCGCGTTTGACGCTCGGCTCCCGGGATTCTTCTCTGAATCTGGTCGTCACGCCATCTTCGGTTATTGAACCGGATCTGAAAAAAAAAATACATTAAGACATCTTTAGAAAAATGTGTGTCCTAAATTCCACCCTGACAGTATACAATAAAGTACTTCAATACAGATTCTCAAGCCCGTATGAACATATCGTAGGACTAAGATACAAATGACCAGCCCTTAATTAAAGATTTATACCAGTTCTCAAACTTATTTTACCCACCGTCCACTTTGAGAATAAACATTAAATATAAACAAAAAAGTTAAAGTTAGTATTCCTCTAAAACAGCTTCGAATTTTAAAATGTCCTGTTCGTCAAATAAACGAATCTTCAAGAGGCTATAGATATCTTGGCTTATCAGAAAGTTACTAAAGTGTGCTAGACCAGGTGTCTCCACACTATCCAGCCTTAGGACCATACTCATTACTCCAGTAAGTTTCAAGGGCCAAAACAGTTTTAATTTTTCTACAAGTATCTATAATTTCTAGACTAGTGTTAAGGTTATTTGATTAGACCTTAAGGCAAGACCTACTTTTAGTTTTGTACATTTTGTGACAATTAGGCATTCCAAACAAATGAATTACCAGTGGGCAGGTTTGGTATATCTAAGGGTGGCGACATATGGTGTATTCTATCTACTTTACGTAAAATCATGAATAATGGATAACATTTAAATATTTTATGTCGAACACAATAAAAATAATATTTAAAAAACCCACCTATACATTTCTTCATAAATTGGCAGGCTTGGCGAGTACTACTTCGAATAAAAATAGCGTCCAAGTTGCAAGACTATGTCGCTACCCCCCTTAAATATACAAAAATTTCCCACTGGCACCTATTGTTTGACAGGTCGTTGGAATGCCTAATAGTTAAGTTGACGTTTTTAATATTTTATATAGTTGTCAGTTTATGTAAGTTTCTATATTTCCATTTTTATAAGGCGATTTTAAATCAGTTACTAGAAATGTGACCAAGTCAAGTGTGGTCCAGGGCTGGTATATCTAAGGGGGTCGCGACATAGGAGTCCATTTTGGACGCCATTTTTTTCGAAATAGTAGTCGCCATTGATCTGGCAACGTGGCAACTTGTAGTCGCCAGGTTTACCAATATAAGAAAAAAAATCAATGTCATTTCTTAAATGACATTTCCATTATAAAATGCCCATATTTTTTAGGATAAAATATTTCAATTTAATAAATTATTAATCTCAGATGTACATAAAATACGTCGGGAAAAGTAGATCACTTTCAATTTTGTACTTTTTTAGTTTTGTTTATTTTAAAAGGTAATTGAAGAGATGAAGACAATTTTCTTATAGATGATGAACAAATTATTGCTCCCTTTTTTAGAGCTCCAGTCCCTTAAGTCTATTTATTTTAGGTCTTTTTAAATTGTTGGTAGGTATTATTCACTTCATTTGTGTTTTTAGTTAATTTAAATAATTTTGTGTAATATCTTGCGATTTGTTTTCTATACATTTTAGCATGTATTTGTTGTCTACATCTTACAAAGGATGGATTTGAAATACCTTTACAACAGAGGTACTTTCCTAAAACTGGCCGAAATTTGAAACTGAATACAGTTCTTAGAGAAAATCTCCAGTAAAAAATGTCTGCATGCAGAATAACAGTAGCATAGATTAACAAAGCTGACAAAAGAGTTGGACAAACCTTTGTCTAGCCTTTTTAATATTTCAGGACAATAGTGTTGACAGCAGACTACAACAAAAACATCCAAAGTTTAGTAATCAAGCAAAATATTCCGGTATCTATATTTTTATTCAAAACTTTTGTGCTTCTACTCAAATACTAACCATATAGAAGCATATGCATTTTATAGTATCTGCAAGATTCGGATCAAATGTACCCACAATTTATGAAGATTACTAAACTAAAATAAAACATTTCAAATAACACCTGCTTTTATGTTAAATATGTTTTTATTAAATACATAAATTAGTCTCAACAACACATTTTTTTTTTGTTTTTACTTCTAGTGTAAAAGTGACTACTAATTTAGTCTTTCAAGTTTATTATTTATAGAGACCAGCTACTACAAAATATCTAATTGATGATAACTAATTTCTCTTTAATAATGGTTTTGCATTTATTAACATTTTACAGCACTTTGTTTATATGAAACCTCTATTTAACTCTTAATTAAATCACATTTAAATCAAGTAATTACATTTTCATATTCAACTTATGTATTCTTATTAGAACTTGGTCACTTTTTTTTACTTTGAATCTTTTGACTGTGGTAACAGTCCATTCACCAAACCACAAAGTCACTTAAAAATGTTGAAAGAGAATGTCATAAAGGTAAAATTCCTTCTTCTATCAGGTTTTTCATGCATTTTTAGGTTGTAAACGTTTTGTCCAACACCTTTTTTACAATTTATCCCAAGCAACACTATGAAAGATTTAAATATTGGATTTACAGCATTCAGTTTTGAGATGAGTGCAATCACAATGTAGTTTAAGAGATAATTTTCACATGAACACTTATTTACCACAGCACAAACGCATGTACCTATCCATGTAACATTAAAATAAAGTGGAAACAAATTGCATAATTTGGTATATAAAAAAGTACAAAATGTTTTTAGTTTTAATTCGACATTGGACTACGAGGAAAACAGTGGTTCATTCCACTTGTACCATATTGACATTATTATGCACGATGCTCGTTCAAACGAACGTCAGAAAAGTGTTGCCAACTTAAGCTGACTACTATTTCCCCCCTAGCCTCAGTCACCCCCTCATCTATTTACTGGGTCTATGTCGCGACCCCCTTAGATATACCAGCCCTGGTGTGGTCAAGGTTCTTACGTCATTATAATGACGTTCTAATAATCTGATTTAAAAATGTTTGGTTTATACTGACGCTAACTTCACAATGGGTATAACATTGGCAGATATCATGAATTTTTGTTTGTGTGTTATGTAGTAGTAGTAGGATTTGTTTTTGAATTTGTAGGGATAAAAAATAAATATTTCTTTTGTTTACTGATCATGGATGAAGAGAAAATTGGTATTATAGTTACTTTGGCCTCTGATTTTTTATCAAAACTTTAGCCATGTTCATTAATAAATCTTACCTTGAAAACAAATTGGCTTTTCATTTGCAGAAACCTTAAATGCGTCCATATCTAGGTACTCAGCCAGGGTTGCCAGACGTCGCACTTTAGGCGTAATTGTCCCGTTTTTTAACTTGCTGGCACGCGTTACGCCAAAGTACAAAAATGCTCCGCATTTTACCTTATTGCTACGTTTTTTTAATTTTAAACTTGTATATAATGATATTTTTGACAATGTTTGACCTGTTTTTGAGAAGCTCAGAAAAAGGAATCTGATGGTTTAAATAAATATAAGCGGAGGACCTTTTTTTAGATCTCTACAAAAAAAGGAGCTTATTTTATAAAAATACCTGTTTTTTTAACCTGATACCCTATCGTCACCATTGTCCCACTTTTCCCTTTCGTAAATATTTCTTTCCATTTTACAAATAACACAACCAAACAATGAATTAATAATTAAAAAGTAAAAGTTTTACATTTGTCATTTCATACCTGTGATGACCACGTTTTTACTGTAGTCATGTTAAACTTGACTATTTCAAGACAATATTCAATATGATGTCATTGTTTTTGATTTATATCAGTGTAGTCAATCATATTCAAGACATAGTATCTGATTTAAAATCGCCTTATAATTATTCACTTCAATAGAGTTCATTCAGGTGGTGGTGTATATCAATATAGCTGAATAGTCCACTCGTAACAACTAGACGCCCAGTACGCACCCTGAGCGAGCATACGCTTGCTAAATTACTAGAGAGTTTCCAGTACGTTAACGTAAACGTCAACGCAAAAAAATAATGTTTACGTTGAAGTCCAAAATATGAGTTGTTAAACCACATACTTTGATTACTATACGAGGCAAGAGAGAGGTCCGACACGCCCAACATAGGGCGCGGCCATTTTGAACCCTGTAACACAGTTTACAGCTAAAGAATAAGATCGCTAACTCTGTGTCGGCACTTTGGATCTCAATTTTCCAGTTTATACACTGCGCAACTCGGATAATACAATATATGACAACCGCCTATAATAAAACAGCAGTCTTCTGCGTATCCTGAATTTGTATCCCTGGAGTGGATGTTATTTAGGAACTTTCAACTGGTCCGAGTGAGCTAACTGATTCTTTAGCAATAAACTGTGACTCCAAAAATAATATTCACTGACACTGACAACAGCAATCAAAATATAAGGTGCGTTTTTATCATCAGCTTCTGCTTCCGGAATTGTCGGTTTAGTCGTTTTAACCTGTCAGATTAAAACAAGAAAACCGACAATTCCGAAGCAGAAGCGGATGATTAAAACGCATCTATTAAAAATATTGCGCCAAGATGTAGGCAACACGTAATAAGGGTTCAAAATGGCGGAGTTTTCTATCTCCTTTTAAAAGGCACTCAGAAAGCTGCGCAGTGCGACCATTCTCCGTATAGTAAAAGAAAATCAAAGTATGTGATTCAACCTCATTGATCTTAGATAATATGATGTCTATATAAGTAAGTACAAACATAACCTAATTATCAGAGGCGGTGCATTAGGCAATCGCCTCTAATTTGCAACTAATCTTTCTTATTTTCTTACCTGAATAGCTTCTTATGCTAATGAATATTTTTATTACAAGCCTCAGGGGAGGAAAATATTAAAGAACCATATTCATCTACTACAAAAATATTTATACAGGAAGTGAATCAGAGAAACTTAAGTTTCTTTCAAAAAGGTGTTTAAAGAAAAAGGCAAGCCACTTTATTGTTGACAATTTTTTTTAAAACTGTAATTTAATCGATTAATTTTGTGTATTGTTTAAATTTTCATATTATGCACTTAATTAATTTTATTTTATCCCAAAAGAGCAAAGAAAGATTTTAAAAAAACTATTCAGAGCCAAAAACATAAAATAGTTAGTTAGTCTTCGTGCCCAAAATATAAAGATATAGGTGTAAATATGTTCCAATTCAAAT